ACACTTCTTCCTGACGTACAATGCTGGAATTTAAGATACGGCCAGAGGCTGCACATGACTTCTTGTCTCCCAGGCTTGCTGCAGCCTTCCCACGTGCTACACCAAACTCTGGCCAGAAAGGCAAACTGAGGAGTTCAATTCACGTCTGCCGCTGGAACGCCAGTGAATTGCGTTAAATGTAATTCCAGCATGGGGGAACCGAGGATCCTTGGGAATAGCCGCTGTGTTCCATCAGCAAGGCTCCTGCCTATGCACTGCCGTACCGCGACGCTGCGCTGGGGCCGACTGCAGCTGAGAACACCATCCCTCGTGTGGAGAGGGTCTGGGGCATTTTTATCCTCACTCTTCAGCTGTAGGAAAATACCTTCAAAGGTGCAGGCGTGAGCAGGCGCTCTTTAGCCAATACGCACTGCCAGGGGAACTATGACGATTTTATACCCATTGAAGATCTGTGCTGAGATAGTCTAAAGCTCCACGGAAACTTTCTTGCTCGTGTTTCCTTTGATGTGAACTTAATGGTCACGGAATTTGCCGTATCAGCAATAAGAATTATGTGATTAACTGGAGAGAAGTAAATAAACTAGTTAACTCTCTAAAGACAGTGGGGAAACACCAGATATCGGTGCTTTCGCCATTTCCAGACTGCCAGAGGTGCAGGAATCCCAAAACTTCAAAATGGGACCATTGTCCAGAAGAATGTTTGGCTCAGATGGCTAAAGGGACAAAATACTCCAGACGGAGAGAAGCGGCCACTGCGGTGCCTCTCCTCTGGGCGAGGGGACAGGGTGGGACGTGTCCTCCCTGCGCTCCCGACAGCCAGGCAAATCTGAAAAATCCTTTGTTCTCACCACTGGATCAGCCACTGAACGAGATGCTTTGGGACGTACCTGTGCGACAGAGGTGATCTGCAGAGCCATTCACCCTGTGGGGTCCCTTTGTCTCCCTGGGCCTCATCACATATGGTCTCCCATCCTTGAGCCTCGCCAGGTCGCACGGTGTGTCCAGGTCTCGTAACGGGGTCCTCCAGATTGTCCCCATCAGGGGGGGGTGAAGTCGCATAATTGCGAGGATCCCCACCGCCTACAAAGAGTTCCTTTGCTTATCAGCCTTTCAGGGTGTTTTCATCAATTTTGATCTGCCTGTTGGAAATGTATAGCGCTGATGCCCTCTAGGGAGCGCCTCATTTTTCCTACCCCTGATTCAGCTTCAGACTTGTGAATTTTAAGTGAATATGCATATATAACTGCGTGTCTGTATTTATACAGAGACTGCCAGTGCACATTTTACAGTAATTCTCCTTGGGTGCTCTTGCTCTCTCCTGCAGTCAATTGTTTTGAATGACATGGAACTGATAATGAATGTGGTTTCAGAACCGAATGATCGGGCTGGCTCGTCTCATTCCACCTCTCTTGGTTTTGAGCAAGAATGTGAAGACTTGCTGTGTCTATTTTAGATTCCATCATGAAAGGAATAATTGAGATTGAGACTCTTAGTCACTCAATGCAGAAGGTCAGGGAATTAATGCTGTGTTACATCCAGACCATTCATTTACTCTGCCTCCTTTTTTTTTTTCCCTTAACTGTCTGTAGGGGAAAACAAATGTGCCACAGAGAAGGTAACGCATCTTCAATGCTGCGCACATCCTCAGCCTCTGATAATACACACTGTTTATCTTTATTTTGGGGGTGTTTCAGGGTAGTTTTATCATCATAATTGATTAGTGGCGACAGGGAAAAAAAATCCAGGAGTAACAGGAAGAAATGATTCCAGAGAATCCATTGACTCAGTTGTAGCATTGATCTACTTCTGGAAATTATTTATAGGAGAAGATTCATAGTTAATAATATTAGTTTGGACTTCAGGAACAGTTTATCAGAGGATCTTAAAGGCCTTTGGTAATGATTAATCAGGTAGAAAAATAAGGTAGACAGCCTCATTTTGGGGGAGGGAAGGAAATGGGATTCCTGGCACAACCCTAGCCACGGATAGCTGTGGCCCAAAAAGCGCGGCTGTCCGCGGTGCAACACCGGCAAGCGGCGGTGGCATTGCCCCGGCTCTTGGGTGCTTTCTGGGGCCGGGGCCGCAGGCACAGCACAAGGATGTCCTGCTGCTGCCTGTTGCTTGCACCGGGGCACGGCACTGGCTGAAGGCTGGCAGTGACGCCGGAGCCCCCGTCCTTGAAAAAATCCTCACTAAAACTCTCCTTAAAATGAAATAAAGGTGTCTGCGAGATGGTCACCTGCGCCAGATCAAGCAGGGAGCACTGCACAGGGACAAAACGAAACCTTTTCTTCCCCTGCCCCTCCTTCTCGTTTTGTTTTTGTTTTTAACTTAATTGATCTGTATCCTGCAATCCTACCTGCAGGAGGAATGACACATCTGAAAAAAGCAGGAGGATTTGTTTGGAGTGGTCTGGTTGGGTTTTTTGGTGTGTATATATATAGAATTGCCTGGAAGTAGTAAATAGAATTAAACGCTGTAGTTCTGAAAAACAAAATTCTCAGGGCTGTCTGTTGATTTCAAAGCTGATGAAAACAAAGCTGGCTTTGAAATCTCTCCTCGCAGAGCTTCCCCCCCCGCCCTTGCCATCTAAAAGATAGGCCTGATAATATTTGGGTTCTATTCTTCTTTTGAAATGGGTGAAAAATGCTGTTTTCTCAATTGAGATGAAAATCCCCATGTTTTTAATAAGGTCAGCGTAACAGCTCCATTAGTGAGATGCTGAAATAACTCCATGCCGATCTGGAACTTCCACCAGGAAAAACTTCAATGTCAACCCAAGAAGTCCAGAGCCAGCTTTGCACTAGGTGTGAACCAGTACTGCTTCTCTAAAATTACTGGTTCTGGGATAACCTATTTCAGTTTAGGGATTGGCCGCCGTGTTTTTAAATAACTCCTGTATGCACAGCCAAACTCAAGTGGCTTTTGCTGTTTTTTCCCCAGCAAAGTGCTGGAGAAGGGGCAGCGCCGGGTCCCGCGTTCCCGCAGACGCGGGGATGGGCAGCGTGCGGGCGCTGGGTCTCCTTCCATGTGATTCCGCAGCTGGTGACAAAGAGAGGGACTACCGCCTGGCAAGACGTGTAGAGCTCACCACTAGGACATGCAGGTGCATATTAAAGGATGGACAGCCTAAAATAAAACAAAATAAACAATGCCTAACCCATTAAGGCTTCACTTTGTTGAAACTTTGCCCACAAATATCACAACAAAGCTGCTGGGTGCTGTGCACTTGGAAGCCTGTCCTTCGTTGTGGGTGCCGGGGACAGGTAGAAAACCTTCTCCCAGCTCTTTGGAGATGTGGTCTGTATCTGGCCAACCCTCCCTGACCCCCCCGACTGCGCTGAAGCCACGGCCCCCGAAGACGTCGCTTCCTTCCTCCGTGCCCTGTCGTCCCCGCGGCAGGGCGGGCAAGGCTTATCTCCCAGCGCGTTCCTGTAGGTTGCTGCAGACGCTGGGGGTAACGCCAAAGGCAGAGATGCATCAAGAAGACCGATTGTTTGCAATGACATATTCTGCTTTTTAAATGATCTTTGATTTCCTGGCAGCTCCCCAGCGTATCGCCCCTCTGTAACACTGTCTAAATAACGTCTGTCAGGTGAAGCCACATCTGGGCGGCAGGCAGGCCAGTCCGCAGCACGCTGTTAGTCATCGGGGACTTCCGAAACCCACCGGCCGATCAATCTCCAGATCTTACTAAATGATAGATGGAATATAATATAGGTCATTATTTCTTCCCTACGCACGAAAATGAATTATTCAGTAAAGATTTAGACCCTTTTTATTATGACACTGAATTTATAGAGCATACAAAACATAAATGCAGATTTCTCCAGCACCAGATAGATGGACTCATTCTCTGGGCGGTGTGCGTTAGCTGCAGCCACCCAGCACCCCTGCATGGCACAGGCAAGACGTGCGAGCGGCTGGGGCACATCCCGGCGACGTGGGCAATTGGGACCTCCACCTAGCGCGGCCACCATACGTGGCAGAGTATTTTCAAAAGCCCCTCGCTGGTTTGGGAGCCCGGGGTCTATTTATCTCAGAAATCGGGCTCTCAGGAGCCGTGCATCTCCAAAGAGATTTGGAGCCACATGTTACTTAGGCTTTATAAATGTGTATCTTAAAGTCAGCTTCTCCCTCTCTGACCTGTGAAACGGGGTTGCCATGTGTCCAAAGGAAATCAGTAAGGCTAAAACCTGTTAGTGAGAAGTGGGTGCTGTACGAGCACACGGACAGGTGTGGTCTTCCCGAATCCTGGCTGCAGAGCCGCCGTCTAGAGTTTGGGTTGGTTTGCATCAATAGCAGTAACTGTCCTTGTTATTGGAATAAACGCTCCAACTTTTAACCGTGTGGCGAGGGAGAATGTTACCACTGACCAGCCGTTACAGACCTCGGCCTCGCAGTTCATTAGTGCCTTCCGAAAGTCTGCTGGGAGTTTGGATTTTTAAACACCGGTGCTCAGAGAGGGGGAGGGCAAAGGGCAAAGCTGCAAACTCCCCGCGCTTTGGGGAACAGGCTGGGGGCTGGGGCTGGAACAGCACCTTTGGCGATGGGGGCTGTCTGCTGCCTGCGCCACGGAGCAGGACAGCGGGTCCTGGTTCGTCACCCGCAGCCATCAGGCACCAAACGCACCCCCAGAGCATCCCTGATGCGGTGGTTATGGTTTTTGTTCACTGGACCACGGGGCAGTGGAGTGGTCAGTCTCTTTTTTAGGGCTATACTGACCGCGGAGGGCTTGGGGACAGAAAGGCGGCAGTGCTGACCCCCTCCCGAGCTGTTCCTCTCTGTCTACGCCTGCAGCCAGGGCAGCAACGCAGAGTGCCTGCGTCCTCGGTACTCGGCCCGGACAGCGGGGAAACGTGTTTCCTCTGGACGTAGCCCAAACATTGCACTGACTTCACTAAACCTCTGGGCCAAATTCCACCCTGGGTAACGGCAGAATAATTTGCACCGCAGAAAACTGCGGTGTAACTACCTGCCGTGGGTACGCGCTAACCGGGATGGAGGCAGAGGCGACACGTAAGGTAAACGGCATCACTGGTTTTCGGTGGTGTTACAGCGGGTCGCGGGCGTGCTCTGCAGCTGCAGTCGGGCAGCGGTTTGCATTGGGCTTTCTAATGCTGCCGCATCTCCCCCGTCCCTTGGGCACCCCGTGTTCTCGGGGAACGGGGTCTGCTGGTCTGGGAGAGAGGGGAAAGCCCCGCACCCGCTTTCCCGGCTGCGCCACCCTGGGCTTCCTCAAAATCACTCATTAGTGGGGTTTGCCCCCTGCACACGCCATCAAATGGCCATTGCCACCATCCCCCGGGGTAAGGACCCGGGGGGTTCAGCTTAACGTACCTACAGCGACTGCTCGGGTTTGTAAACCGCACTGTGAGCAAAAACAAGCCCAGTTATGGGAGGCTGGATGAAAATGAGCTGATTTTGTAAATCTCGGCAGCGCGGGCAGGAGAAATAGCAAAAATGACTGAATAGATTGAAAGTGGTCACCTGCCTGAACCTGGTCATGGCGCTGGGAAAGGCGGGAAAGGAAAAGTACTGATAAAGTCTTTCAAAAGCCATTTGACCTCTAATTTTCACTGATGTAAGGGATAACAGTGGAGATTTCGTTTTAATATATAGAAATCCAAATTTTTTTTTTTTTTCCTGAGCTGCAATCAGCTCCACCGAAGTTCCCTCCATCCATCAGAAAAATCCGTCTCGTGCTCGTTCTTTCTGGAACCCCTTTAAAATTCTGCACAGTGGTCAGAGAGATTAAAGGGGTAATATAACCCCGGGAACCACACTCCTGACGAGCAATTTCCCGGTGATTATTACCAGAAATAGCCAAGATTTAAAGGAGACTCAGAGGGGGGAGAAAAAAACGGTCCTTTAATCCCTCCCCATCCGTTTGTTTTGTGCACTGGCGCCGCTCGCCCCGCTGGGGCCAGCTCCCATCCCAGTCGGAGCAACCGGGGTCTTCGCTGCCCACCCGTCCCCTGCCCGCCGGGGGACCCCCTCTGGCGAGGGGCGCAGAGACCCGCGCGGGCGCCTGCCATGTTGCTGAACCAGAGTGCAGCACCTCGGGACTAAACACACCCTGTAAAGGGAATCTGATCAGATTTTTACTGCGGTTTGCATCAAAACACGACGAAAACTCTTCCTCTGGTAGGCCCGACCTACCAGCCATGGGCACGTCCGCTAATTTACGCCTTGTTCATCAGTCACTGCTGGAAAGTACATTTATACACTGCCCCCTCCCAATTAAAAAATGATAATCCCTGAGTTTGAAATAATTGGCGACCCCTAAATAGCTCTCGTGGGCACGGCCGCCGAGCCGGGAGGGCGTCCGTCAGGAGGCACTCGGTCTCGGGCGAGCTCAGGTGCTCAAAATCAATGGATGTTTCTGAAAATGTAGGGCACCGCGGCTCAGTCCCGTCGGGCGGGCGGCCCACGCTCCCGCTCAGCGCTTCTTAATTTAGGTGAAACTGATTGCTTTCACCTCATATAATTATGACAATACTTGGCAGCCCCATCACTGCTTCTGTCCGACGCTGCGAAGTGCGGGTCAAACGCCAAGTGGAAGTGTCGGAGCTGAGGGTGAACGCTGTCACTCACTCTGGGCAGTGCTGGAGCCCCGGGACGTGGGGGCACTGGAATGCAGGAACTCCAGGATGGGGGAACCCTGGGATATGGGGGCAGTGGGATGTGGGGCAATAGGATGCAGGAGGCTTTGGACACAGGGATACTGGAGCCCTGGGATGCGGGGGCACCAGGATGCAGGAACATTGGGATGTGGGGGCACAGGGATGCAGGAACCCAGGGATGTGGGGGCACTGGGATGTGGGGACACCAGGATGGGGGGGCACTGGGATGCAGGAGCCTTGGGATATGGGGACACCAGGATGGAGCAGCCTTGGGACATGAGGGCACCAGGATGCAGGAACCCCAGGACGCAGGGGCACCAGGATGTGGGAGCCCTGGGATGGGGGGTCACCAGGATGCAGGAACCCTGGGGTAAGGGGGCACTTGGATGTGGGAACCCCAGAATGTGGGGG